CACAAAGTTTTGTGTCAATCTTAGTGCTGTCAGCTCGATTCTCTGGCTCTGACACTCTTTACCCCTTGTCACAATATTCTGGATCATGTCCTGTAAAAAAAAAAAAAGAAGAAGAAGAAGAAGCAAAATTAAATAAATAAATAAATAGGTTAACCCATTGTCCAGTATGCAACTTCATCAGTACAATAGAAGAGAGGTTAAATCTATAGTCTCTGTTTTAAGATTTTACTCTCCCTTCTGTCTGACTTTCCTTCTGTGGTCACACAAAATCTGAAATCCTGGCCAGGAATCACTGAAGCTTTCACTTTTCATTTGATTTGATATTTAAAATAGGAAAGATGGCATAATGCACTGTGGCTGGATTGTTATAACACAATTGTAAGTCATATTTTAAAAACTGATGAAAGTGATTCAATTAATGTTGCTTTTTAGCCTGAATATTGCAGACTTGATTCACGTGCCCTACACTGACAGAGACATGTGCGTCAGTGTGAACCTGTCAATGTCTTTATTGAATGAGGCACAAAAAAGCAGGGCTAGCTGAGCCCAAGAGCGTTCTGTTTTTCATTGTTGTCTCCCGTCTGGACTAGGTAGATTTCTGTGAGTAGGACCAAAACATGAAAGTTCATTTGGACTTGTCTGATGAAACTGGACGTGTTTGAATTTCCTTCCATCATCAGATTTTTCATACAGACACATTTTAATACACACCATAATGAAAGTCTTTGGAATCTAGCAGGGAAAACCCTAGGGTCTGTTTTCACCAAAACCAGTTGCTGTCACAGAGGTTGCCAGTACAGTAGCTGATTAGATTGAACTGTCTAAGTAATGAGCTTAAACCCATAAAACTGCTTAAGTCATTAACCTAATAGGGCTTGCTGTAATGGACAGCCATATTCTTACATGGGCCGTGGCCACCAAAGCCATAAAGTGCCATCCCCAATGTCTACTAACCAGGGTCCTGCTTTTAGCTTTATACCTTGGATCTCCTCCCAACCCGAGCCTGCAAACACCCAACAATAAAAGCAACCCTAACCCACATCATCTGCTCTGCATGCAATAGGCAATGAGGGCAATTATATTAAGCAACCATTTGAGATCCCATTAGGGTTAGGTTGGTTGGAGCCCTTTTGGTTTGACTGTGGGAGGATTGATGCATTGCTTTGCTTCTTGTAACAGACAAGATGACATCACATTACTTAAGTTGTGATTACTCTGATCCAGCGCTCTGTGTGCAGATGGTCAAAGACTGATTTTTTTTTCTTCTTCAATATGGATTCAAAGTCATCTATGTTTATAACATTTTTCATCTTGTTGTAATTAAAACCAACAACAATAAGAGGTTGACATTTCACACAGGAAAAATAATTTATAGCACCTGAATTAACAGAGGCCTCATGAGATTTTGATCAAAGAGCTTTCTTATCTAAAGGAGCAAGTAAGTATTGGTAATTCTAAAATAACCTAAAATCCTCAAGTCATCTTTTGGGTATAACCACATAGCACACGCTCTTCTTCTGCTTTGGTTTGATTAGTGACCGGAACAATTACTGTAATCGTATCATCTTAACGAAGGAGAAGATAAGGAGTCAGACCTTCCCCTCAGCCCCCCGTCCTTATCACTGCCATCACCACACCCACATCTATGCACGCTCTCACACACACTTCACATGATCACAAAGATTTATTTTACCTTTATTTTACCAGGCAAAACATTAAGAACAAATTCTTAGATGTACAATCTCAAAATAGGTACAGTATATAACAAATGAAAATATATATCAGAGCCCAGTGTTAGTAGTGGCTATTACAAGGCACTGCATGCCAAACAGTTTCAGACCAAGGACCACTTTGTTATTAAAAACAAAACTACCAACTAACTATCATGCAAACATGTCCCACACCTCCTACATAACATAAATGTAAATTAAAGACTGGGTCGTCTAAAGACATGTCCTGCCGATCAGTTAGTTGATTCAAAATGGGTCATCGCAAAAGCTCTCAAAACTATGACATATCTTTGTGTACCTAACAGACTGCACTCACAAGATCTACAAGACTGCACAGGAGACCATGCAAAAATATCGAGTTATACAGAAAAAAGTACAAGGAGAAAACAAAGTATTTATATAAAGACAGATTAAATTCCTGAACTATGTTTAATCTGCCTTTTTACATACCAAAAGAGAAAAAAAAAGCTTCAGCCAACTCACTCACTAACTTCTCTTTTCTGCTGTTGTTCCATATAAATCTTTATGACACAAATAAAATTATTAGTAGACAAATACAAATTTTGGTCGACTAAGACACCATTGTCCATTTAATCAACTCAACAACTAAAGGCCTACATCCCTACAGGAAACTATAACTGTATACTCAAACATTCATCTTGATAAAATTGTATTTTGTCATTTTCTTGCAGACTAAAGGGCAAGATCTCTGCCATTTCATGCCCCATCTGATAAAGACAGTGTTGTGGCTATTTCAAGGCCACCTCTGCTCTATGGTGAGTTCAGTGACAGGCCCTCAGCAGTTGACCTGGACACAGAAAGTTGTGTTCTGCAGGAGTTCTCAGATGATTCTGCATTCTCATTAACCACTTCACAGATAACACAGTATAGAAGGCTAACTCAGGACTTTGTGGAGAGGTGTCAGCAGAGGTGTAAGTACCTAGGGGTATATCTTAACAATATACTGAACTGGACCCACTAAGCAAGTTCAATCTTTTGAGGAGATAGTGGCATTTTGGAGAGAGAACACATTTTGTGGACTTTCTGTGGTGGCATCAACCATCCTGTTATCCTTGGTCTGCTGGAGTAGCAGCATCACAGAGAGGAAGGGGAGAAAGCTGAGCAGGCTCATCAGGAAGTTCAACTCTGTTTATGTTCTCTAAAGGTGGGGATACAAGTGTCCAGGCTAAACTCACATGCTCGCTCTTGGGTGTCACTTCCTGCAGGACATCCTGTGTGTTTCGGAGAGCATCTTCAGTGTACCCTTTGCAAAGAGGGATTGCACAGGTTTTCCCTTTCTGCTACTGTCTGTAGAATAAACACTGGTAGCCTGGTATATGTCATTCATCTGATAATGCATGCATCTCTGTTAACACTGTATATCTGTGAATCACCACAAAATGCATTGTAGACTATTGATATATTAATACATACTACATTTATTAATTATTACACCATCTTTATGAGAGAGCTACTTAATTGATCCTGAGGTAAAATCAAGTTTTGCTGCAGCAAACAGTTGATGTTGCAACAGCATTTCTACTGCAGGTCTCAGTTGCCTTTGTGTCTCAAACAAAGTTCTCCGTGCAGTTTAACAGGAGGACTGGTCTGGTAGATTAAGCAGCTACTTTGGAAATGTCTCTCCTCTGTGTCCTGCAGCATCACAGCAAAGTCCAGGGGTAGCTAGGTAAAGACAGCAGGAAAGTTCCTACACTGCTCTGGTGTTTTGTTTAGTGATAAAATGGTCCATTCCCTCAAAATGTTTTTTTCTGGAAGATCTTCTGCCACATTTGCTGCCACATACGGTGTAAAAAGCCTGTAGCATTTCAAATGTAGTGGGTGGTAGGGGATGGTTTGCCTTGCTCGCTTGCTGATTGCACCTCAGTTTATATGACATAAACATCTTATCAAATATAGGCTTCAAAAAACAATTAACATGATATAAGCTACATCCTATTATTGACTTTGTAATATGTGTATCTTAAGTCCTCTGTGGGAATAAATGCTTGACTACATCACAACCCCAAAATGTATTCAGTTCATTTAAAGTTGATTGCTCACCGCGTGGTGCTGACTAAAGAGTGCCACCTAGTGACCAAAAAAGTAGTTTCTCTGCTGATCATTTGCAGGTTGGCGCTGTCTGCCATCTATTCTAAATCCTCAACAACTTTGCGACTTTTCTGTTTTTCTGTGCAACCAACACAACCGAAATGAAAGAAAGCTTAAAAAAACAAAACAATTATGATCTATTTTATGCATTTTTTGTCTTTTCGTTTAAAATAATTGAACTAATTTAGCAAAGGGCTCATCAGTGCCATCAATGCAACCAGTGGTAGATTATTTTGAAATCCACTCTTGACATCAGCTAGGGAAGTCGAGGGCAGTAAACGGAAGTGTGCTCCTCTGGGGTCCATAGGGGGCTCACATTTTTGGGAAAAACACCAAAACTATTTTATCTCGGGATGGAGGCCGTAGGTAGATACATTTCTTGATGATTCTATTCTAAATTGTGGGTCAGGATTACGAGTATATGGTGAGAATGTTGTGTCTTAACATTTCTAAACTTTATTGTTTTGTTACTCTAAGTAACAGGTCTGTACAAATGGCAGCTAATCATGGACGCTGCGTTCGCTATTTTCTATAGCAAACTGCAGCATAAATATCACAAAAATATCATGTTTGTCCCTTTACGTTTCCCCTTATCATTCACCACTTCGTCGGAGTGACTAGTATAAAATCAAGGCTCAAGAACCGCTAGTCGCAATGTGGGTGGGGTGGCTTTTAAAAGAAACCCACGTATTAGTTATTCGGAACATATCCAGACATGTCAAACTTTTTCACTGCTTCGTAAAAACATATCTTTCAATCTATTTCAACACAAACTGTAATATATAAATGGTTATGAGAAAGCTTTTACGATGTCTTAATATGAAATTGCTGACGGAAGCGCTGAGACTGCTTTCGTTTGTTGCTTACTGGAGGAGTCTAGCTCAGTTGCCTGATTTGTGTCAGTTTTCAGTTTGTCTATTAAGTAAACTAGCCTAACAGCATCACTGTGCCATTTATACTATATTATTTCAATATTTCATGTTATCTAGAGGCTGTGTATCAGGGTCGTCTCGTTTTTGTCGCTGAAATGTGAATATTTTTAATTCACCACTATTTTGATATGGGTGACAAAAGCTGTCTGTTGTCACATTAGGCTTACCGTAGACACCATGGCACGCTAACTTGCGCATGCGCAAAGATTTTTATGAAGCAAATTGGGTAGCGATGCAAATTGGGTACGGTCCATGGGACTCTGAGGGCGGATGGTGGACTACTGGACTCCGTTTGTCAGCTGAAAGAGGAGAGCACCGGGCGGTTCTCTCCTTGTTGTCTCCGCTCTAGTTTCAGAATAACGGTGTTGCCACTGCCATGGAAAACATAAGGTATGCAGCAGAAGTACTTGTTATAGCGGAGACGCGTTATGTCGACAGAGGAATGGAAACATGCCTTTCTTGCGCTGAGCCCCTTCGCTTTATTAGGGAAATTAGCTCGCTAGCCAGTCTTTGGGATTAAATATAGTAAGCACGGACAAGACGCAATACCACCCACAGCTGTTACACCCATTGTGTATTCTTTTTTATTTTGACAGATTCCAATGGGACTAAATAACAGAGTATGAGCAGCGGCTGAAAATAAAACGCAGCGGCTGTCTTCCTGTGGATTTTTTTCCTTGAACATGCCTGATCTATGGAGTAGTCCTGAGCGAAGCTAGCTGGCGGTCTCCCCGGCTAGCGCATCGTTTCCACTTATTGGATGTATCTGTATATGAACGGCTGATTTGCTTTGGATCAGCTTTACCCATCATAAGGGTCACCATGGGGGAGCCTAGTCTGGATGACTCCAATGTCAAGGTGGCTGTCCGTGTCCGGCCCATGAACAGAAGAGGTAAGAAGATTTCAGGCACTGGCCTCTACATAAACAACAATCACACGTCTCACTAATAAACATGCGTGTCATATTCTTTTTTTTTTTTTTTTTTCAAACCACCAAGCTGGTTTGTATTATTCCCAGGCAGTGCCACACACTCACGGGCATATGCTTGTCTTATTGTCATTTTAATTTCCTGGGAATTAAATGTCAATAGTAGCCAGTCACCATGATTTAGTGTAATAAGCTGTTGCTTAAGTTGAGAAGAAAAAGCTGTCCATCCTGTCCTGACAGCAAATGTAGGGTGCAGGCTTCTATTGTAGCTGACTGCTATACAATTGGATTTCTTTACTACATGATAAATGACCTTAAGACTAACTGCCTGTTGGTTAACACTGTATTGCAAGAAACTTGAATTAACCTGCAGTGATGAGGGTGTAATTGGACAGCAGTGCTGGTTTGAGATCATCTGTATAACAATTAAACAGTCAAGGCATTTTGTGTGCCCCATGTTAGGCTGGGTGTAAGAGTTTTGTGCTGTGAGGGCCAGTGTTTCTCATGAAAGGAGGAGGAAACTGATGCAGTACTGTATTTGACCGACACCCGGCTGACTGCACCACGTGTATTACTCTCTCTGTTCTGTGCTGGGGAAGTTGGTCACAAGACCGAGGCAGTGGATCGCCCGCCTTTCATATAGACATGTAGGCTGTACCATAAACCTTGAGTAGGAGCTTGTTGCGAAAAGCTATCAGGTGTCTGACATTTGTAAAGCATCTTTGTTTTTAATATTACATTTATTTGCCTTTTCACTTTGCCTAAAACTCAGTGATTTAAACCTGTGAATATTTTCATGGACTAAACCTGAAGCATTTGCCCAGTGTCCCAGGTTAGTTACTGGTGTATCTGCTTGCCTGGACAAAGGCAGGAAGGGAGTCATTCAGATTGAATATTTGCTACGTTGTGTAACTGTGCATGCTTCCCATAGCCGTGTCCTTCTAAAAACACAGACAAACTCAGGCACAGCAACACCAACACCAGCACAGGAGACCTTTTCTTGCTTTTATATATAGTGCCAGACCTGAGCGTTGGTAGAGCAACAATGTCCATCGAGAACCCAGTGGAAACTGGGAGCTGGCAACGAAGCACGAAGCAGCAAATAACAATGGTTTCATTTATCCTGACAACGTCACATCACACTTTCCCCTCTGTTCAACAGGAAGTGGCTATTGGAAAAGGGACGCATGGGTAATGTAGGCTGGAACCGAGTCATTTCAGTCAAGGAAATCCTCTCTATATCTACGTTTTTGCTCTTTAACTCTATATGCTCAAACTACATGCACAGTGTACTTATGCACATAGGTAGTCATGTGCATGGCACATTCATCACACCAACAGCTGTTCAGGTGTCTCTGGGAGACAAATTGTCAAAGATATATTTAGACTGCTATGAGGGTATTGTATTATTTTTGTAAGTACTGTACTGTACTGTACTGTACTGTACTGTACTGTAATGCATATTAAATCACCAAACTAGTTTTAAAAGGGATTCACAATCACAACTCAAATACGTTTGTTAGTGTGCATTTAAATAGCAACAATATAGTAATATGGTTTAAGGGACAACACATTCAAGCTGGTAAAGGATGTTTTATGGTGTGGGTCCTTGCTGTTACCTTGAGCAAACAATGAAGAGTGTAAAGTGCTATTCTTGCATTGAACTATGGTCATTATTTGACAGAGGGCATTTCTCTGTGTTGTCATTTATCAAGGAATAGGTTTTATCTTATCAACAAAATGATCTGTTAAGGAATCTGTTATTGACATGGTGGACCCCAGATGACTAAAGTTACCCACTATACCATTATAGTCATAAATATGTCTTGTTTTTGACATGTGGGATTAGTGCATTTTTGTTATAAAAATACTTAATTCTAAAAATAGTTGTTCTTAAGAGCACCTTTTCTCACAAATAGAGTTTATTCTCAATACTTCAAGCTTTTCTTTGTCAAAATGGAACATTAAGTTTGTATTTGTGAGGGGTTACAAGTGCAACAAGTACAGTAGTTCAGAAAGCTGCCTCTGGTGTTCAGAAATGTTGCATCATAGTGTAAATAAGCCTCAGCGAGCATGTGAGACCCTTTTCTGTGGGGTCATGGAGACACAGCGACTGATTGCCTCAACATGTCCTGTATTATTGATTATCTTAATACTCACTCAAAGTTAAAAGGACATTTTGCTGTCAGTTGTTCTGCTTGCCAATTACAATTACACTAACTATAGTGTCAGAATATTTTGTGTCAAGAGTAATCCAGTTGTTTTCACCTTTTAAAATTTTCATTGATTTAACATGAAGTTAACTATGGATTCTTTGAGGTATGATGACACAATCCTGACAAAATAATTTCCCTGAATAAAATTAAGGCCATAACATAACATGTTCTGTTGTATTAGTGTGCTACTGCTGCTGGTAATTCGTTCTTTTTTTGCTCTTTTTATATAATTCACAGAGAAAGAACTAAATACAAAATGTGTAGTGGAGATGATGAAGAACCAGACCATCCTTCATCCAGCAGGGACCAACCTGTCCAAAGACTCCAGGTAATTTGGTGATTATAAGCACTTAATAATTGTGTTGGATTAAAATGGCACTAGTGCTGCTTATTTAGCTTGTTGCTGCACAACTGTGTTGCATAGTTCTTGTCCGAATACTGCTGCTTAATGACTTAATGCCAGATTTGTATGGAATGTTCCTCTGCCCTCATAATGCAGATCTTGGCAGGAAGCAGACTCAGCAGCTGGAACCCACTGACAGGTGTTTTGCACATAGTTGATGTTAATGTGATTACTTTCTCTCGCCTGATTTCACCAGACAATTGAATTCTTTCTTTTGAAGGATTGTTGAATTCCATTTTTAAACCTACATCTTTAAAGTAGGATCACAGTTGTCTTTCCCATGTCAAGGATCGTGAGAAGGTTGGCACTAAGCTCAAACCAGATTACATAATGAATTCACCAAAAAAATAAACACTGATTGTTCTCGAAGACCACAGACCATAATACTATACAAAGACACATCTACTTTCTGTATATAATGTGATTTATTTTCTTTGTATCTATGCACATTTTAGTATTTAGTCCTTTTTCCTCTTTAGCTCTCAAAGTTCTCGAATCCTGATGGAATAGGTCATCCTTTTTTAATCCGTTTGTCCACATAATTTCACCTAATTGCATAAGGAAATTGAGCTGGGGAGGCTTGATTTAACTTGACAAACATTCACACATTGTAAGCTAATCTATTTCATGCAGTACTAAAACTAAGAGGTACATGAGGTATTTTAAATAGTTATTTACACACTACACATGATATTTTAAAGCAGACCTGTTATGCAAAATCGACTTTTCATAGCTTTTAACCATGTTATAGTTGTTTCCCTTCACATTTACCCCATCGAAGTTGTTTATTTTGTGATTTGTGCATGTTTGATCAATCAAATTGCAGATTAATCCCGTTTTCAGTGTCACCTGCATACATCCACTGTTTTGTACTAACTTCTTTCTTCAGTTTTATTTTCTTAATCCATGATAGGCGTAGGATTCTGCAGCATCATGTAGTCATATAGATAGAAATGAAAGAAAAAAATTGCTATGTGCTAGCGTGATGTCAGCTATCCATTGGGGGGGGTGTCGGAGTTGCTAGTGGAAGTTTACTAGTGAAAGTCAGCTAACTTGTTTCTTTTTATTAAGTTTTTTTTTAGATAAATTTTGCAATTTAATTGCAAATGATAATATGATGATCCACAGATATCATAGAGTATAACTATATAGCAGACACAAGCACAGTGGGTCCTCTTTAATGTATTTGTATTTGTAGTGTGTCAATTTAAACCAGTGATTGAAGAAACTACTTACAAATGTGTTAAAGAGCCTGTACCTATTTGAGTAAAATGCATCTTGCCCCAGTACAGATATATTGTATGAACATTTCTTAAGGCTTAAATAAGTCAGCTGCATGCTATCTGTATCTAATTAGAACACATTTTATTGTTTTGAGTATTCAGGATGACTTTGTTAGCGTACTAGTTGAGGTTAGCTTTATGGTGATGTCAAAACTCCACTTTGGCCTCTGAAAGTTGTGAATAGCGCTTATAAACTGATCTTGGTGAATTATTAGAATGCTCAGAATGCATAAGGTAAGTGAAAATAACTTTGCACTGTTTTAAAATGAACTGTTTTAATGTTTTTAAACGGTAAAAATCAGGTACAGAAGCTTTTAAGGGACTATATTTATTGCCTTTTATTTACTCAATTAAAAATCACGGAGCATGCCTTAGTAAATTCCAAGCAGCCATCTTTGAACAAACCAGCTGCATCGGAAGAAAGATTCCCTTGTGGCTTGTGCGAGCTGGCTGCAGACTGCCTGATCAGATGTAGTAAATAATTCTGGCTTGGTGCATGTGAGAAGCGACTTGAGTTGTCGTGCCAGAGTGTCCAAGAGGGTGCTACTTATGCCTGGAAAAAAGACAGAGACAATCAAAGCATAAAACTCACTCCCTCACTTCTCACTGGGTCATAACTTCCCACCACCACAGCTTCCTCCCTTTTTCTCGGCTCTTCCGTTTCCGTGGTAACACGAGGAGGTGAGCTCGGGGTCGCCATCGGTGACCGTGAAGCTCTTGAGTTAGGAGATGGTGGTGAAGGGGGGAAGAGGCGTACTTCTCCTCCAGCATCTGTCGGTCATAAACTTTGTCTGCTGACTTTTATGGTGGACTGAACAAGAGCCGAGCTATAGCTTTTCTCTGCATCCCTCTTTGACAAAAGAACAAACTAGCAGACGGCGCATGGCTTCATCTAGATTGTTGGTACTGCTGCCATATTTGTTTATTTTTTAGATTTTCCTTGTTTTACTTGTTAAAGCTAAACCAAGGAAGTGAGCTGTGATGATGCAGGTGCATGTAATTTGCTTATCTAGCCAGTCTATCAAGAAACCCTTTGTTGGAACTGGGGATGCAAAGCATTTAGTCATCTTCCTGACTGTTTAAACATGTAAGACAGCCACTACACATGGCCTCCCCATGTTTACATTTAGGATAGATGTAAACTTCCAAAAGTAGGGTAGTATTAAGTGAAATTTTTGCACTTTGGGCTAAGTTTTGTGCCAATTCAAGGCTGTAGTCGACTAAAGAAACGGATCGACTAAAAGGAGGCAAGACTGCACCTGTACATGAACAAAAACAACAAATTATGCACTAAACTATACTATACTGTACTATAGGAAACAATAAAGACAGATCAAACTTGTGAATTATGTGTAACTCTGATATTTTATATATAAATGGCCAAATCTTCAGCTGACTGACTCACTACTTTTTTTTACTGTTGCCTGGCCTGTATTGATAATCTATGTAATATAAATAAAAAATATTTATTAGTTTAATAATATACAATTTTTGTCAATTAATACAAATTTTGGTTGTTTAATAAACATAGAAGTGACATATAATATTGTCTGAATAGCATTGTCAGTATACTCCAGTAAAATATTAAGACATTCATTTTGTTTTTATCGCACCCACCACTATTCACATAGCATTTGAAGAGGCTAATCTAGCTGTTTGACTGAGAGAATCCTTTTTACCACTGTGGATTAACTCCTGACTTTTGTTTCACTCTGTGGCCCCATTAAAGTGTTAACGCAGCTTCTCTTGACTCTCTCTGGCCGGTATTGACTGATGTATAGATCTGCTGTAAATGGTTGAAAGGGTGCCATTAAGTGCTGCTGATATAATTGAACTCTGGGAAATATTTTTAAGCCACTGGGCGTTTCAAATTAGTTCCAATGCTGTGATCTCACTAGTAAAGTTCTCATAATGTATTTGTTGTTCATGACATTTAAGACTGTGTTCAGCTCTGCGCTCTGTTAGTCCTGAACCGTTTGTGTGGTGCCAGTGTCTGCCCGAGTCAGTTTTTCCTGCAGTTTCAGAGCCCACAATGCAGGCTTGGCTTTTTATTTCCTCAAATTTCCTCTCCCTGTGACTCACAGGAATGGTGACATTAGTGTATAATTTTAGTATGTTTCTCAAGGAGGTGCATTGGAAAAATTGACTACATTACATGACAACCATTAAGTACTGTGAAAACACATGTAACATTATAACTACTGAATGAACAGAGCTTACTTTTAAAAGCTTGTAAATGCTTTGCTTCCTCTTTTTCTAATTTTCTTTTTTATGTACTTTTGTTTAATCCTAAATAGTCAGACTCAGCAGCATTACTATAACATGGAATTCTGACCTGTCTTTCAGCAAAAAAAAAATTAACCCAGTCTACTGAAGCATTTTACATGGATATTCAAATTAAAGTAAATGTAATATGTTGAAGTATGTTAATGTTATACTATACAACCTTTGAGTATCCCATGACCAGGGATGTTCAGAGTTGAATTCCAGGGCACCTCGTCCTTGAATAGTGAACTTGCCCACAGACATGTGGTTAGACGCTATAGCTGCTTTGCCTGGTGACCAAAGGCTGTTTGCATAGGACTGGTAAATTCAATGTTGACACAATCTGACAACAATCTGTCTCCTGTCAGATGTCAGAGAGGCAAACACAAGTAGCTCAGTTTCCACGGGGATGCACAAAAGAGGCTGTGTAAGCCTGTGTACGTTGGAATGATGTTGAACTTGTCCACATGAGACTGCACACTTAGCACTTGTATGTAATTGTTCAGGCCCTAAGAATGGGGTTTCCTCTATTTCAGTAATAATTTTGTTCAAATGTGGCAATGGCAGGAAAACACATAAGTTTAAATTCCACACCTTGGTAAAATATGTTTTGTTTTGGACATTTGTGCTTATATCTCCATTGTATAGATTTGTGTTGCAGTAGCCTACCTAATCTTTAGAGTAGTGGTTCCCAAGTACCCCCTAAGCTTTGTCTCTCAGGTACAGGGCAAATACATCTGTTTATTATAGTATAATGTACGTAGTTTATTTTATTGTCTTATTTTAATGATCCTGATGTCCAGAATCCTCCAAAACGTTCTTAAAGATGTAAAAAAAAAAATAAATAAATAAAAAATTTAAATACTTTTAATTTTCACCCGGTTCTTGTACCCTTGGTGGGGAAGCCTTAGAAAAAACTTGAGAGATCACACTAATAGCGTTAATTAATTTAAAATGGCTAAAGAAAACCTTAATGTTTTCTTGAAATTAAGTGAAAATTATTTGCAAACATTATAGACTTGAAGCAGCAATGTCTTCTTAAAATTCCAGGTTGTTGTCTTTGTGCCTGAGATCAAATTCAAAGAAAACTTAGATTTATACAATAACACAGTAAGCTATTTTGCCATGTGTTTTGGTATTTTAGCACAATGTAGATGACAGCATAATAATTTGTGCTTTCTCCTTTATTTGAAACACATAGTACAACTATAACAAAAGACCGATCCCTGTAATACAATGCACTTGGTGGAGAAGCCTTAGAAAAAACTTGAGAAATCACACTAATGGTGCCAATTAATGTAAAATGGCTAAATAAAACCTTAATGTTTTCTTCAAATGAAGTGTAAATTATTTGCAAACATTATAGACTTGGAGAATATGATAATGCTTAAATGCAACATATTTTATTGTGGATTAATGAAATTGAAATTTTTAAGCAGATGAGTCAAATTGAATACTAAACTGAAATACCAAAAAGTGTTCTCTTGAAATGTCTTAGACTCTACATTCCTTTGTCTGGCCTTTTCGATGTAAGTGCTCACTTCCACCCCATCCTCCTCTCCTCAGTTCTTCCCTCACAGCCACGGATGGTACAGTCCCAGGGATGAGGAAAGAATGCCTGAACATGAACAGTAGAGGAGCAGGAGAGGGAGGGGGAAGCAGCCATGCATTAAGTTATTTTTTAAATGACGATGATCTGAGCAGAGGGAGCAGGCATAGGCAAAGGAGGAGGGTCCAGGGCTCTCCTGACTAGTACTGTCCTGTCATTGGTCAGACAGGGGCCGGAGCTGCTGTAATAGACATTTGCACACAGACTTAAATGACCCATGTTGCCAGCAGCTTTTGAGGCCACTCTGACAGCTGTCATCACTGCATACATCAGGCCTGCCAGGCTGATTTCTACCCCTGCAGCGCACATGCATATGGGGAGGCATGGGCAAAAGTAGGATGCTTGCAGTCCTAGGAAAAAATTTGAACAACAAGAATGTAACGTGATAATTTGTTCATATGGAGAATTGGATTTAAATTCTTAATTTTTTTACCGTGACCTAATTTTTTTTTTTTTTTTTACGATGGCCTATGTTTATAAAACTTTAAAACATTGGATTATAAATCACTGAAATGAAATGTGCAACTACTGCAGTCTTGGTTTTAAAGGAATGTGCATTTGTAAAAAGAAACAGGTGTGGGGAAATCTGCTGTTTAATTCTGTCTAGAATTCTTTACACTACATGAAATTCAAGATTTGCAAACATTTACCTTTTACCTAAACTAGTGGAAAGCAGCAATGTCTTCTTAAAATTTCAGATTGTTGTCTTCGTTCCTAAAATCAAATTAAAAGAAAACTTAGATTTATACAATAACACAGTAAGTTATTTTGCCATGTCTTTAGGTATTTTAGCACAAAGTAGATGACAACATAATAATTTATAGTTTCTCCTTTATTTGAAACACATAATACAACTATAACAAAAGATCAATCCCTGTAATACAATGCACTCTGCGTCTTTAGCTTGAGCTGACTCTCACATATCTGTGAGCTTAGCTTCTCTTCTCTAAGTCATCGTGTTATCAGCAGTGCTCCTCCTCTTGGTAAATGTCATTGTTTCTATTTGTAGACTCATTACTTGCTCGCGGTGGTGTTTATTTCCAAGCACGACTCTGACCTAGTAACCCTCCATGCCACCATCTGATCCCACCCCACAGTGCCACCCGCATCCACCAGCCCTTCAGCCACACATGCTTCACTTTCACACATTTACACAATTTGAACAATTCTGTGCCAACTGTATTGCAAACAGATTGACTGGTTTCTTTACACTGTTGATTTTGACATGTGACAAGCAAATATTATGCAAACCAAATGGAAGTTACGTAAAAGCTAAGAGTCAATTGAAAACAAAGGACGCCAAGGGGCCCAGTCTGTTATGTGTTTTTGCCCCTTCAGTAATGACAAATTTTTCTTTTTACGTGGAAGATGATACATTGAAGTTTTTGAAAACTGCTGTTGGTTACTCCAACCTTTTATGTTCTTTCTATCTGTTTACATGTTCATGTGAACCTTGATCTTCCCAACATCATCAGGAGCCAGTCCAAGGTACCAACACGAATAGCACTGACCTACCTAATCCATTTCTATGCATAATGACACATTTAAAGATACCTTTGTGTGATAAAAAAAAATCTTGCATTTCATTTTTTTTTGTTTCTAATGCTGCTAATGCCTTTGTATTTTAGGTGTTTGCATATGATTACTGTTTCTGGTCCATGGATGAGTCGGATACAGAAAAATTTGCAGGTTGGTCTATCACATTATGCAAGAGTATTGGAAAATGAACGACAACATTATAGTAATGTTTTGTACATTTGGTCTGCAGGTCAGGAGGTGGTCTTCCAGTGCCTTGGGGAAAGCCTTCTCAACAATGCCTTTCTGGGCTACAACGCCTGTATCTTTGCTTATGGACAAACGGGTGAATAATCAGGACATTGCATCTTTACTGTACTGCATGTAGAAACAAAGGGTCCAGTGAGGCTTTGCTGTGCACTTTTTACAGCAGTATCATTAATCTGCTTTATGTCACTATTGTATTACAATGGCATTTGTCTTAAGTGTGTACTGCATTTCAAAAATAGGTCATAATTTATATAAAGAACATATAGTACTGATACAAGTACAGTCAACACTACAAAACTAGTGCACATCTTATCTTTGACATATTTCTCTTTTCTATATTGAGCCTGTATTTTACTTTCCACATGGTTTTAATTCTATTGTGCCTATGTCTTGATATTTTACAGGTTCAGGAAAATCCTACACCATGATGGGGTCAGGGGACCAGCCCGGGCTGATTCCCCGCTTATGCAGTGCTTTGTTTGACCGAACACAGAAGGAACAGCGTGAGCAGGAGAATTTTACTGTTGAGGTGTCCTACATGGAGATCTATAATGAGAAGGTCCGAGATCTGCTTGACCCCAAAGGGTATGACCTGGTGCTTGGCGTCATTTCTTTACATAAATACCAATTCAGTACAAATGACAAAAAGAGATGTTGTCAGGGGAGAATCATTGATTGGTGTTTTGCATGTTAAGCCCTTAGTGTAGCCGGGCACCACCAGCAGCTGTGGTCAGTAAATAAAATTATAGCCTTCTTCCCCAGCCTGTGAGGGACGTTGGGTCTTGTCCAGCAGGTCAGCAGTAAATCTGCTCTAGTCCCAGAGTCTGCTGCCCAGACTGCATGACCTTTGACCTTTTCTTACAACATGGCCTCTGGCCTATGTAAAGTGGCCCATGGTCAAAACACCATCTGACTTCCATATGGGAATGGCTTTAACTCTAGAAATGATGAAGTTCACAAACAGGCAACTGAAGCCAGAAACTAAAGTGAACACAGTTTAAGTTTGAAGTCACACAAAAAACATCTCATTATGCACAAACATTGTTTGACTATATTCACTGAAGAGCTTTGATACATGAACTGAATGAAAGAGTTGTCATCTGTATTTTCCTTTTCTTGCAGGGGCCGACAAACACTTAAAGTCAGAGAACATAAAGTACTAGGACCCTATGTAGATGGCCTCTCTCGACTAGCTGTGGCCAGTTACAAGGTAAATATCATGACACAGTCTATCTAGTCTAATCTTGTTAATGTGTAAAAGCAATAGCAATAGTGTTTAGGGAATGACAGATCTTTTGTCTTGTTGTTGTCTAATTTCTTGACAGGACATTGAGTCTCTCATGTCAGAAGGGAACAAGTCTCG